TCAGGAGATCCCAGCCCCTAACCAATCAAGAACTCGGGAGACTCCAGCCCCCAACCAATCAAAGACGACCACGTCTTTTCGGCTGAACAACCACCCCCCACTCCCCAGCCCTGAGTTTTAAAATCCCTAGTCTGCACAAGCCGGTTGCTACTCTCTCCTTAGAGGTAGTCCTGCAGGCTGATTCTCAATAAACCTGCACCTCTGGAGACCATACACAGCCTCGTTCCTACAAATTGGATTTCTGCTATCTGTCCTCCAGAGTAGGGTGATTTAAGCTATTTACCCTGTGGTTGGGGAGAAGTGCAAACCAGTGACTCTGGGGTAGGGGAGATAGGATTTACTAAATGGCCGCAACCTGCTGTTTAACTGTCGCCTGTTTCCCTGTCCGCTTGTCCTGGCTCACTGGCCTCATTCTCACTTCTCAAAATGACAGGGTGGTAGCCAAGCTGCAGGAAGAGTTTGATGGCAAGTGGGGGATGGACTAGAGATGGAGGGAGGGGGAGACCAGGCAGCAGCCTCTGAGCCTCTGGGGGAAGCGCAGACGGAGCCCTGCCGGGGCAGCACGTCCGGAACTATCAGAACTAACGTGTCTTTGGCCACCGTGGTTCAGTTCTGAGCAGCTCTCTAGGGAGGAGGGACTGGGGGCTGAGAGCAGAAACCACTGGGTGTCCTTCAGCTTCTGGAAAAGGGATGACAGGTGCGCCAGGCAAGGGGACAGCAGGGCAAAGGCACGGCCGTAGCCCTCACACTGGGGTCCCCAAACCATCGGGCTGAGAGAATTACGCGGGGAAAAGCACAGGCTTGATCCCATCCTCGTTCCTGTCTCTCCCACACTCCGTAGCCGAGGTCATCACGGGCGCGTTGTGTTCCCCGGGGACAGCTCGGCTTCAGACTGGAATGATGTCCCCGTGCCAAGGACCCGTGCGCGGCTCAGTTCAGCCCAAGTGTCCGTGTAAAAGAGACTGATTCTAAACTGCTGGGGGAAACGTTTGATAAACTGCAGTAAAAATTAAAACAGTAATAATGAGGCAGGATGGTAAGAAGCTAGGGGAATTCCTGGACAAGTGGAATGAGGGAAACAGATCAAATAAACAAAGCCAAACAATTTGAGCAATTTATAGCTAGCTATGAATCACAAGGTCTTATCTTTCCTAAGCAAGGACACCTGGGAGCAACTTGTTTACACATTCCGACCCTCCCAGGGCCGACCAGCCTCCGCCTCCTGCCTCAGCTAGTCCAGAAAATAGCGCTGGCCTCCCTAGACCATTGGAAAAATCTACATATCAAAGGACACACCTAAAAAGCTAATGAATATTTTGTTAAGACCCTCCCCTGAGACTTCGCTAGGATTTTGGCAGACCAAAGAAAGGTAAAAAAGCCTCAAGCCCTGGCAGGTGTGCTCACTGGTTAGAGCATCTGCCCATGTGCCAAAGCCTCACAGGTTTGACTCCTGGTCAAGGGCACGTGTTTGGGTTGTAGGTTTGATCCCGGCCCCTGATTGGGGGCGTGCGGGAGGCAACCACTTGATGTGTCTCTCTCACATCAATGTTTCTCCCTCTCTCCCTCCCTTCCACTTTATCTAAAAATCAGTGGGAAAATATCTTTAGGTGTGGATTGACAACAAAACAAAAATTTTAATATGTTTTTGTTGATTTTTTTTTTTAGAGCAAGAGGGAGAGATAGAAATATTGGTACAGTATGTGTGCAAGAGATACATTGATCGGCTGCCTCCTGCACACCCCCTACTGCGGATGGAGCCAGCAACCCGGCCATGTGCCCTGGTTTATCACCCATCAGGGTCCCCTGGCGTGACTCGTCACCCACCAGAGGCAAAATCATAAAAGAGGCAGTACTGCTAATGCCAATAAAGACATAACCACGTCTTTTGAGAAGGACTATATGAGAGATTCTAAGGTGGAACTTTGCCCCAGGGTGGAGCCTGGATCTCTCTGGGAAAAGCTTCTGAGTCAGATCAGCATTCAATCCTCAGTCCTCTCATTATACTCACTGGCTTATTCCTTCACTAGAAAGATATTTATTGGGCACTTATGGTGTGCCAGGTACTTAACTGCGTTGTGGTGTAAGAGAACCGAGAGGCCACCAGAGCCGAATGAAAGCCAAATAGAGAGCAAAGCCAGCCAGTGACTGATCCCCCCGAGTTCTCGGAGACCAGCCCTGGGGCCTCCAAATGTTGTGGCGCAACAGAGTCAAAGAAAGACCCCTGGAGAATTGAAGTCCAAATAAGAGCCCTTCATTAGCCGGCCGGCGGCTGATTCCGCACACCCCCGTGACAGTCTTCAGAATCAGCCCCGATGTGTTTATCACATGCCTTCTGTACCTGACAGCAAATAGGATCTTCCTGATATAATGCCCAGGGCCACAGCAATGCTGTATAGAATTAGTTTGCCTTGTGAATAACAGGAACACCTGGGCACACCCAGGTATTTCAGGTATTTCAAGGTACATGGGGTCACACTTAGCCCCGAGCTGCACGAACACAATGCAAGCCTAATTCCTTCAGACTATGGGGGAGGTCGAGTCTCTGACTCAAGACCTCCAGGCTCCGTGGACTCTGTCAGACACGTAAGCCGGCTCCCAACAATTTCTTGGTTCAGGGAGTATTCCAGTTTACTGAGGTTATTTTGACTAAACAGGTTCAGCTAGAGGGCACACTGTGACTTCCCCAATCATCAATTATGGAGCAGCACAGTAATTTACCAATCATCAATTATGGGGTTTTAAACACGCCAGCACAACCGGGGAAAGTGAACCGACAAAATCCCTGCCTTCCTGGACCTGACGTTCTAGTTAGAGACGTGGCCATGGGGGAGGGGAGAGCAATAATAGGACAAAGAAAAAGAAATTCAAATAGTAATAAATATTGTAAAAAATAAAATACAACAGTGTGTTTTGCTAGCAAGGAGCTAGGAGCCTGACTTGCAGGCAGCGTTAGCCATGAGATGATTTGTGTATGGTTCTAAGAAGCCAGCGAGCAGCGAGTGCTAAGGCCCTGAGGTGGCTTCCTCCAAGAACTGACAAAAGCCGCAGCGAATGGCTGTGTGATGGTAGGTGAGTTCCTCAGTCTCCGTGCACCGCTGGAAAGTGGGGGTGACCATACCGACTCCTCACGGTTGCTCTGAGGATTCCACTAGACAATGACTGTGAAAGGCCTAGTGCTGTGCCTGGCGTATGGTAGGAGCTCAACAAACACTAGCCGTTAGTTTGAGCAATAAACTTAGCTTGAGGAGGAAAGAATGGGCTTGGAGGATCAAAGGATGAAAGACAGAGGCTTCTGTGGCTTATCCTTCCAGAATGCGAAATGCATGGTTGCCTCGGCTGGGTGGCTCAATCAGTTGGTGCATCTTCCTGTGCACCAAAAGGTTGTGGGTTTGATTTCCCCATCAGGGCACATACCCAGGTTGCAGGTTCGATCCCTGGTGGGAGTACATACAGGAGACAACCAATCAATGTTTCTCTCTCTCTCTCTCTCTGTCTCTGTCTCTGTCTGTCTTTCTCTCTCTAAAAATAAATAAAAACATATCCTTGGGTTGTGAAGGACAAACACATGCTATGTGAACATACAGTAAAAATTTTTCCATTAAGCAAGGAAGGAGATATACATCAGCCAGAGTTAACCCATTGTATAGTTAATTCATCCCTCAGCATAACGGCTAACCACAGATATCTGCTTCTGTACGTGCTTGCTTGCTCGCAAACCTTTAGCCCAATTTCTTAACAGGGGCTAAAACAACTGTATAAGCAGCCGTCCCCCTGAGCTCGGGGCTGCTCTCTCCTCTGCGTAGGATGGGACAGCCTCCGCGCGGCTAATAAAGCTCTCTTAATTTGAACCCGGTTCAGAATCTGAGTCTGGTCTCTCTCGTTGGTCTACAACATTTGGAGGCCACAGCGAGATAGACAAGCGAGGTCCCCCCCTCCGGCGGGTTGACCTCCTCAGATTCCAGGAGACAGGTCCATCCCAAGAGCGGATACGGGTCTAGGGGAAGGCCTACAACAGGGTGAAGATGGAAAAAAAAAGATAATAAAATGTGGTTAAGTCTTTTTTTAAATACAGGGTACGATATGAGCAAAGTCCTAAAATCGGTCTTCTGAGGATGTCTCAGGACATCCTGGAGACCAATAATAATAACTAGTGTTATTTTTTATTTTTTGGTTAATCCTCACCCAAGGATATTTTCCCATTGATTTTTAGACAGAGCGGAAGGGAGGGAGTGGGGTAGAGAGAGAGAGAAACACATCAACTGGTTGCCTCCCACATAGCCCCAGGGGCCAGGGATCAAACCTGCAACCCAAGTAGGTAGTGCCTTTGACCAGGAATCGATCCCATGACGCTTTGGCCTGTGGGCCCAGGCTCTAACAGCTGAGCCAGACCGGCCAGGGCAATGACTAGCGTTAATTGAATAACTACCACCATTCACTGAGCCTCTACTATCTGCCAGGCACTCTGCTGAGTACCCGATGGGGGCGGGGGGACCCTCTGACTCCGGGGTGGGCACTAGTTTTAAGATCCCCATTTCACAAAGGAGGAAAGCCGGGACTCAGAGTCTGGAGCAAAGCCAGGAGGCCATCAGGAGGCTTTGCCTCACCACTCCCACTGATGACCTTTGGCCATTCCTCACCTCCCATGTGAGAAGACAGTCCTGCCCCGCCCGCCACCTTTATCATTCTCCCAGCCCGGAGGGCGGAGGGCTGGGGTGTGTTTTTGCAGAAAGGGAGGTAAGGGAAACCCCAAGCCTCTTCCCCAGGAACTCTGCCTGCCCCCGTCCTGGGCTGCTCCCCACCCACCACTACCAGGTCCCTGCTGGAGAAGAACGCAGGCCTGCAGGTGGTTTCCCAGCCGGCAGCGAGCCTGGGACAGGTGCAGCGTAGGGGTGTGGCCAGGACAGGGGCGGGGCCAAAGCGGAGTCCTTGACTGGGATGTCCAGGAAACCCCACTCCTGACAGGACGACTTCCCCTCTGTGGCCCCCGGACAGAAGGCAGCATGAGGGGTCCCCTGAAGGCTAGCCCTGTCCACAGCCCTGCCTGGAACAGACTGCTTCTAACAGGTGTGTGAGGGACAGCGGTTCCACCCAGGGGCGGGGCACAAGAAAGATTCCCCTCGGAGGGTCTCTATCCAAGTTAGAGTCGCCTCAGTTTTTGTTTGTTTTATTTTTATTGTTGAAAGTATTACAGACATTTTTTCCCCCATTGACCCCTCCTTCCTGCTCCCACCCCCCTCCTGCCTTCCCCAGCCTAGTGTCTGTGTCGATTAGTTGTGCACATATATGTATATAAGTTCTTTGGTTGATCTCTTCCCTCCCCTCCCACCCCCATCCCTCTGAGGTTCGTCAGTCTGTCCCTACTTCCATGTCTCTGGATCTCTTTTGGTCGACAGCTTATGTTGTTCATTATGTCCCACAAATAAGTGAGATCATGGGATATTGTCTTCCTCTGAGTGGCTTATTTCACTTAGCATGATACTCTCCAGGTCCCTCCATGTCGTCTCAAAGGATAAGAGGTCTCTCTTTCTTACAGCTGCACAGTATTCCATCATGTAAATGTACCACAGCCTTTGTATCCACTTGTCTACTGATGGGCACTTGGGTTGTTTCCAGATCTTAGCGATTGTAAATAGTGCTGCTAGGAACATGGGGGTGCATATATTCTTCCTGATTGGTGTTTCAGGCTTCTTAGGGTATATTTCAAGAAGAGGGATCACTGGGTCAAATGGCAGTTCCATTTTTAATATTTTGAGGAAACACCGTATTGTTTTCCACAGTGGCTGCACCAGTCTGCATTCCCACCAGCAGTGTGCTAGAGTCCCCTTTTCTCCACATCCTCTCCAGCACTTGTTGTTTGGTGCTTTGTTGATGGCGGCCATTCTGACAGGTGTGAGGTGATACCTCATGGTTGTTTTAATTTGCACCTCTCTGATGATTAGAGATGTTGAGCATCTTTTCCTGTCTCTTGGCCATTTGTTTTTGTTGTTGTTGTTTCGGTTTTCTTTTTATCCTCACCCGAGGACATTTTTGCGTTTATCTTCAGATAGAGCAGGAGAGAGGGAGGAAGAGAAACATCTATGTGAGAGAAACACACACATGTTTGGAGAAGTGTCTATTGAGGTCCTCTGCCCATTTTTTAATTGGATTGTTTGTCTTCCTTTTGTTGAGTTGTATGCGTGCTCTCTATATTTTGGATATTAACCCCTTATATCTGATGTATCGCTGGCGAATATGTTCTCTGGACTCGGGCAGTTCAAAGCCCATGCAGCACAGGCTCTGGCTGTGGACCCCTCTTATAGGGGGAAACTGAGGCTCAGACAGCGGGGCCACCTGCCCAGGATCACAGGCTGGCAAGGACAGAATCAGAATTCAGGGCCCCATCTAGCCCCTTTCACAAAATCATAATTTTGAAATAGTAACAGTGACACTAATAAAATAACAACAATCCTAATATAAAGAGGTCACTGTGACTGAGTATTTCTACATGCCAGCCTGTTCTACGTGCTTTTACGTAGTAACATTTCATTCTTAGCCCCATGAGGCAAGGGCTGTTTGGTCCCCATTTCATAGAGGGGGAAACTGAGGCACAGAGAGGTTATGTGCCCTCCCCAGGCCACATAGCCTGGAAATGGCAGAAGGAGGGTTTGAACCCAGATGGTCTGGCTATGATCACACACACCCGCCTCTCAGATAATAAACAAATTGCCTCCTTTTCCAGGTCTTAGAAAGTCAGGTTCTGTGTAATTTCAAAACCTCAAGCTTCGCCGCGCTGGGAGCGTCTCTGGTCCGCAGGCCGGCCTGAGTCAGACGCAGCGAGGACAAGCCGGGGCGCGGGGGCCTTGTCTCGCTCTCTCTGAGTCCTTTCTCCCCGAACTGCAGTGTGTGGCCCCCCAGGGCCACAGGCAGAAGGGAGGGACAAGGAAGGGGACAGGAAAGTCTCTGCTTGGCTGCTACAGGTGTAAGGTAGGGACAGGCATTCTGCGTGGCTGGGGCACTGTTGCTGGGTCTTTCTGGGTGGGGGGTTCTTTGGGGCTCCTGTGAGGTGGCCTGCTGGAGGCTGGCTGCCACCTCCTGGCCCCCTCCAGCCTCTTTCTGCCGAGGTCACAGGTCAGCAAGCCCTGTCCCATGAGGGTCTTTGCCAGGACAGCCTCCAGCTGGCCCTGGCTCATGGGAAACATGTAGACGTCTTTGTTCCCTCAAACGCTGGGGGTGTGGGCCATGTCCGCCCCACTGGCCTCCTCCACACCGTTCTCACCGCAGGTCTCCGGTCTCGGTTCCCACAGACTCCTGGGGGCGTTTCCCTCTTTTTCTAAGAGTTGGAGCCGCGCTCATTTGGCCTGGGGAGGAGGAAAGGCCTGGCCCTCACCCTGGGAAGGACTCAGGTTCATGCTCAGCCCTCCCCCAGGAAGCCTGCGCCCTCCCCCGCTCTGTGAGCTCTTTTGTCCCCAATGTCTTGGGTACAGAGGGCGGTCAGACAACCGTGCACTTTCCAAAGTGTCCCCCTGCTATGCCCAGCGCCCGCCTGGCCCGTGCGTGTCATGCAGTCTTCCTGAGCGGCTCCCCTGTGCTGTCTGGGGTCGGAGTGCCCCTGAGTCACCGGAAAACAGGACAGAGACGCTTTCTCATCTGATTAAGGTTAGAGACGAGATGAGAGAGCCAGGCTCCTGTGAGGTGGGAGCTCCGGGGTCATGTCTGTGGTCCCAGCTCCGAACCGCCACCCACCGTGGGCAGGCTTTAATGTATTTATGCATTTATTTATTTAAATATATCGTACACGGGGTGGGGCAAAAGTAGGTTCACAGTTGTTTGTACAGAAAATAGTAAAATAATTAATAACTAATATGAAATGAAGCTGGGTGTCACGTACTCCCCGCTGTAAACCTTTTGCCAGGTTTCAAGTGGTTTCCACCAGCCGCCCTCCTAGGTAAGTGGGGGAACAGGCTCCGTGCCCAGAAGGAACAGGCGGCAGAGTCGGGGTGAGGAACCCGGGACCGAGGCCTCGGAGTCGACAAATGAAAGCGTGATTCCGCGTGTGCCGGACTAGGCACTGCCTGATGTCAGGTCTTCTCCTGAAGATGACTTGGGGACACTCCCTGGGTCACCAGGTGCGTCCACTCCGTCAGACTCAGAACCGGGTTCCAGAATGCAGGCTGCACGCTCTGCCATCTGCCCTTTGGCCCTCATTCAGCAAACACTGTTCTGGCCCTGGCCGGTTTGGCTCAGCGGTTGGAGCGTCGGCCTGAGGTCCGGAGAGACCCGGGTTCGGTTCCTGCGAAGGGCACGTACCTCAGTTGCAGTTTGTCCCCGGCCCTGGTGGGGTCGTGTGGGTGGCAGCCACTTGGTGTGTCTCTTTCACATCGATGTTTCTCTCTCCGTCTCTTCCTCTCTCTCCCTCCCACTCTATCTGTGAACAAAAAATAAAAAAATGTCCTCGGGTGAGGATAAAAAAAAAAAAAACACTGTTCTGTGCCCAGCCTGTGCTGGGGACACAGCAGTAACCTCCTGGGGTTCACCATCCAGAGGGAAAACACGCCCATCCCAAACAGTGATGACCCCCAGTGGGTGGGACGGGGATGAGGTGGGGGAGGGTGACCAAGGAGCACCATTCGATTTTTTTTTTTTTATCCTCACCCAAGGACATTTTTCCATTTTTTTGTTCAGATAGAGTGGGAGGGAGAGAGAGAGAGAGAGAGAAATATCGATGTGAAAGGGACACACCAAGTGGCTTTCTCCTGCACGACCCAACCAGGGCCGGGGACAAACTGCAACCGAGGTACGTGCCCTTAGCGGGAACCAAACCTGGGTCTCTCTGGACCGCAGGCCGATGACGCAGGGAGCACCTTTCAAAGGTGTCAAATCAAAATATGGCCTCAGAAAGGTATGACCTCGGTTATGCAAATGGCCCCCCTCTGCTCTTTGTTTCATAAAAGCATAAGAATGCAAAATGTGTTCATCAAGATAGGAAGGCAAAACCCTGAGCAGATCCTTAGGTATAGAACTTGACTCCTGTCGCTTTGTGGCAGGAGCTTCCCGTATCCTATTGGGTCAGTTGAGGTCGGTGCCCAAACATTGCATCATCGCTCACCAAGCACACTGAGGGCCAGGGAAGACTTCAGGAGAGGGGATGCCTGAGCTAACACTTGAATCACAGCTAGAAAAAGAGAGAGGAGGGAACAGCATTCTAAGGGGGAACAGCATGGGCAATGGCCTGGAGGCCAGAGCACTGTGCGGAGTTCAGTCTGATGGATGCAGAGAATGAAGGAAGAAGGGTGAGAAGAGCCCAGACATGTAGCAGGGGCATCGGGTGAAGGAGTCTGTGCAGTGTCCTGAAGGCACTGGGGAGCCATGGAAGGTTTATGAGCAGGGGAGTAAATAAGTCACATCAGCTACCAACTCAGAGATAAAATCAATGAAGGTAGGAAGTGTCCCCCAAAAGACCCAATATGGGGACAACACTTAGCTCTCCACTTATGGCCTTGGTCTGAGACTCAAGCTAGACTTAGCTTCTCTGCCTATAAAACAGACTAGGACCAGCCTCAGTTGTGGAGGGGCTCAGTGAGGTCGCGGTTGGGAGAATGTGGCATAGCCCCTGGCACTCGCCCAGCACCCCGTGTCAGCCGATCACCCCTGAGACCGCTCACACCCCCTTCCAGAGCTCAGCACACTTGTACCTGACGCCGCTGTCTGCCCTGGGAGTCATTAACCCCGGCCTCTACTTCTCATTCATATACCAAGAAGAGAGCTGATGTGTTAACATTTCTTCTATAAGTGGGTATTTCTGATCCTGCAAATATACCACTTGTTTTATGGCTTTCTTTTTAATCTCTAAAAGGCATATTTACAATACACCCAGCACTTGCCATTGTGGATGCAAGTCGAAGAATAATAATGATGAAAATTATAGTTATAATGTCAAGCGTTTATCCGCCAGTCCCCTGGTTAGTACGGTTCCAAGCACTTCATAAGCATTAGATGTGGGAATGTTTCATCTTGAAAGACTGTGCCAGGCTGCCCTCTGTGTGGGGGTGTACCTGATGTGTGTTTCCTTTTCCCTCAGCCTCACCAACACAAAATCACTTTTTTTTTCTTTTTTTTTTGGTACGTGCCCCTAGCGGGAACTGAACCCAGGACTCTCTGGTCCACAGGCCGATGCTCCAACTGCTAAGCCAAACCAGCCAGGGCCACTTTTTTTTCTTTCTTTCTGGCCACCCCAGCCACCCCCAGCAACATCACATTTTGGGACCTTTGCCAACCTACTAGGGGCAAAGTGTTGTCTCATTTGTTTTGATTTTCATTTCTCTGGCTGTAAGTACAGCTGAACATTTTCCCTACGTCAAGAGACATTTGGCGGGGAGGAGGGGGTCAATGGGGAAAAGAGGGGGGACGTCTGTAATACTGTCAACAATAAAGATTAAAAATAAATGTAAAAAAGAGAGACATTTGAATTTTATTTTCTAGGAACCTCCTATCCATACCTTTGTATATTTTTCTGTTAGGTTGTTGATATTTTTCCTATTGAGATCTAGGAGCTCTTTATATATTAGTGAAATGAGCTCTTTGTGATATCAGCTGCAGATGATTTTTTCCTGGTAGGACATTGTTCTTCTGACTTTGTGAGTAGTGGGTTTTGTTTTTGTTTTTAACCTTTGCAGAAGTTTCTTTTTATTTTTAGGTGAAACTGTTCAGTCTTATGGCTGGAGCTTGTGTTCTTACGGCAACAGTCAGTATTTCAGTGAGGGCAGCAGAGTGGGGTGGGTAACCGCACCGGGGCCGGAGCCAGACTCCAGGGGCTCCACTCCAGGCTCTAAGCAAAGCGGGGATTGAAGGGGAGGAAGTGAGGGCAGGGGCCACACTGGACAATGTAGGTGAGTGGTTGAGAATTTCAATCCCGTAGGTGCTGCTTACCACCTACGACATCCTGGAAAAAATGTCTCGAATTCTCTGTATCTTTGTTTCTTTTTCTCTAACAGGGGTAGAATCGTTGTAGCGGTAAGAGCTGAGGCAAGAAGGAGATGTCAGCTCAGAAGGAGTCACGAGGACAGTTTGATAGAGACAATTTGCAGAGGTGTAGGCAGGGTCTGGGTTAAGTGACGTGGGGTTGTGCCACACCCAGGGGCTAGCCACAGTGGGAAGCTGTTACCTCTCCTGGGCTGGATGCTGCAAGAAGGAGAGTAGACCCTCACGACCAAAAGAGAGTGGTATTGCCGGGCCGGTGTGGTTGAGCGTCGCCCATGCACCAAGAGGTCGCAGGTTCAATTCCGGGTCAGGGCACATGCCCAGGTTGTGGGCCCGATCCCCAGTGAGGGGCATGGGGGAGGCAGCCAGTCAATGTTCTCTCTCATTGATGTTTCTATCTCTCTCTCCCTCTCCCTTACTCTCTCTCTAAATATCAATAAAGAAAGAAAGAGTGGTATTTGGAGCTGGTTGCCCGGTAGGAGCCTTAGCGGAGGGACACAGCCAACCTGTGGTGATGGAGCAGGGAGGAAGCTGGGGACCAGTAACCTGAAGGTCACTCCTATTGGCAGAGGCAAAAGGCAAGGGGTCAGCCCTGCAGGAGTGCAGCAGAGCGAAGGTTAGAGAATAGAGCTGACCGTCCAGTGTAAGGTGTGCCTTGTGGGGTCGATGTATAAGGAAAAAGTGAGATAATATATGCTCCGTGTTTATGAACGGTGTCTGGCTTAGAGGAGGTACTCAGTGAATGTTCCCTTTCATTTCTACAATATTTCTATCACGGTCACTGTGGTCATCGTCAACTCTTGATGTGCCAAAAGCATTTTTGCTGGCTCAGGAGGGGCTGCTTGGGGCAGCGTCTCACCTTGGGTTCCACTTGCTCCCCCTTTTCTCTTCCCTCCTCCCCACTCCTCCAGGCACCCTGCTCGCATCCTGCATCTGCTCAGCCTCCTCGGAGCTGCTCGCCTCTGCATCTCGGGCCTTCCTGACCGAAGGAGCCAGCGTTCACCTTCCAGTCCCCAGCAAACTTGATGGTATGCTCTCCATTTCTTGGTTCTGAGGGCATGAAGCCTGGCCAGAAGCCATGGTCTTCTCCGCTGAGGGTCTCCCAGGGCCCGGCCACACTGGCCAGGAGATGCTGGGCGACCAAGGCAGCCTGGTCATGAGAAACCTAACAGCTCATGACTCAGGCAGCTACACTACGGTGCTGGGAACCTGCAGGGGACACAGTGTGACAGAGCAGATACATGTCAAGGGTGCGTGGGGCCCCACAGCAGGGGAGACGGAGTTCTTAGTCAGCTGCGCCCATCAGAGCCCATTCTGTACCAGCAGCCCATTGCTCCCTAACAAAGCCCCCATCTCTTTTTTTTTTGTTCTTTATTGATTATAGAGAGAGGAAGGGAGAGGGAGAGAGAGATAGAAACATCGATGAGAGAGAACATCGATTGGCCGCCTCCTGCATGCCCCCCACTGGGGATCAGGCCCACAACCTGGGCATGTGCCCTGATTGGGAATCGAACCAGTGACCTCTTGGTGTGTGGGTTGATGCTCAACCACTGAGCCACACCGGCTGGACTCTGGTGGTAGCCTTCAAACTCACCTCTGCCTTTATGAGCGCTATTCCGTGCTGCCTGAACCTTTTCATCTGCGCCAGAAAAAGAAAGCCCTGAGGCTAACCAGACCCATTCTTTTGAGCCGGGAGTGCAGCGACCGTTAGTCTGCCAGGGCTGCCATAACGAAATGCACAGACCCGGTGCTTAAACAACAGAAACTCATTTCGCACAGCGTTGGAAGATGGAAGTCCAGGATCAAGGGGTCAGCAGGTTTGGTTTCCTTTAAGGCCTCTCTCTGTGGCTTGCAGATGGACCCCTTCTTGCTATGTCCTCACATGGTCTTTGCTCTGTGTGCACACCCCTGGTGTCTGTGTGTCCTATAAGGACACCAGTCAGATTGTATTAGAGCCCACCCTAATGACATCCTTTTAATGTAATTATTCCTTTAAAGGGGTGGTCCTCCCCGCCCTGGCCGGTTTGGCTCAGCGGTTAGAGCGTCGGCCTGCGGTCCGGAGAGACCCGGGTTCGGTTCCCGCTAAGGACACGTACCTCGGTTGCAGTTTGTCCCCGGCCCTGGTCGGTTGTGCGGGTGGCAGCCGCTCGATGTGTCCCTTTCACATCGATGTTTCTCTCTCTCTCTGTTCCTCTCTCTCCCTCCCACTCTACCTGAACAAAAAATGGAAAAATGTCCTCGGGTGAGGATAAAAAATAAATAAATAAATAAATAAATAAAGGGGTGGTCCTCCCCTTGGAGGATACGGAGCGGGAGGACTCTGGGCATGAGCACACTGCTGTTCATTAATTCAACAAACCATCAGCACCTGCCCTGTACCTGGCGTGTTCTGGACAGTGTTGGGGACACAGCAGTGACTGAGACGCCCCTCCCCTCCCCTCCTGGACAGACTGAGCCGTGTGGCCCTAGGACAGGCGCCATCTTCCCCTTGCATGCCCGAGCAGTGCGGGGCCCTCCTTTCACACGGCCGCATCCTGGTGTGTCCGGCCTGATAAACTCTGCTGGCCGTCCCTGACTGCTCCCTGGGACCCTGCCCCCCACCAAGGTGTGAGAGCACCCAGCAGGTGGCAGCTAGACTTGGTTTGCCCTGGGACATTGGCGGAGTGGCCTCAGACCCAGCACCGGCACCAAGTTGGAACCTGTATCAGTCTGGTGAACACTGCTGGTCCCTACATGGTGGCTCACCGAGAACCTGCCTCATGCAACCTGAGTCCCGCCAGAGGGTCTTTCAGTGACTGAGCCGAGCAGACAGAGGCAGGCGGAGGCGGATCTCAGGGTGCCTTGGGGCTTTTGCTGCCCTGCCCCCAGGCCTGGTGCTGGTCAGAGCTGGCCTTGGTACTCAGGTTGGTCTTTCCCATGTACACCCGCGCCCAGCAAAGGCAGCATCTGAATTGGCCTGCACCAGAGTCCCTCCCAAGAAGCCCCAGAATCCACACACCCAGGGGCCAGCTTCAGGCAGCAGCACAGCAGGATCCAGTCAGCCTCCCGAGTGGCATGTCCACAGGGAGATCTAGGCAGGCACCAGACCCTGCTGAGGCAAATGCTGCTCCGTGTGGTCAGCACCTGCCTAGCAGCTCGTACATTGCGGTCATGGCTGACCCCCAGGGTCAGCCAGCTTGAGGGCCGACCCCATGCACAAATGGGCCAGTAGCAATCAAGACTCAATTACAGCCCTGGCTGGTTGGCTCAGCAGTTAGAGAGTCAGCCCGCGGACAGGAGAGTCCTGGGTTCGGTTTCTACCAAGGGCATGTACCTCAATTGCAGTTTGTCCCCGGCTCAGTTGGGGTTATGTGGGTGGCAACCAGTCCACGTGTCGCTCTCACATCGATGTTTCTCTCTCTTCCTCCCTCTCTCCCTCCTGCTCTATCTGAAGATAAATGCAAAAATGTCCTCGGGTGAGGATAAAAATAATAAAATGAAGTAAAAAGGTTTTGTACAGCAAAGGAAACCATCAACAAAATGAAAGACAACCCACTGAGTGGGAGAACATATTCTCTAATGATACATCTGATAAGTGGTTAATGTTCAAAATTTATAAAGAACTTAGAAAACCGTCCAGTCAGTGTGGCTTAGCAGTTGAGCATTGACCAACACACCAAGAGGTCACTGGTTTGATTCCCAGTCAGGACACATGTCCAGGTTGTGGGCCTGATCCCTAGTGGGGGGCATGCAGGAGGCGGCCAGTAGATGGTCTCTCTCATCGATGTTTCCATCTCTCTCTCCCTCTCATTTCCTCTCTCTCTCAAATCAATAAAGGAGGAAGAAAAGAACTTAGAAAACCCAACACTAGCCTTGGCCTGTGTGGCTCAGTTGCTTGGGTGCCATCCCATGCACTGAAAGATTGCTGGTTCAATTCCCAGTCAGGGCACATACCGGGTCATGGGCTCTATCCCCAGTTGGGGATGTGCAAGAGGCAGCGATCAATGTTTCTCTCTCACATCAGTGTTTCTTTCTCTCTCTCCCTCTTCTTTCCTCTCTCTCTCTAAAAATCAATTTAAAATATTTTTAAAAGACCTGGCCAGTTTGGCTCAGCGGTTAGAGCGTCGGCCTGTGGTCCAGAGAGACCCGGGTTTGGTTCCCGCTAAGGGCATGTACCTCAGTTGCAGTTTGTCCCCGGCCCTGGTTGGGTCGTGCGGGTGGTAGCCACTCGATGTGTCCCTTTCGCGTGGATGTTTCTCTCTGTCTCTCTCTCCCTCCCACTCTATCTGAACAAAAAATGAAAAACTGTCCTCGGGTGAGGATTAAATAAATGAATAAAATAAAATATTTAAAAAAAAAACAAAAACAGACTATTCAATGAAAAAAATGAGCAAAGGACCTAAATAGACACTTCTCCAAAGAGGACGACATACAGATGGCCAATAGACATAGAAAAAGATGCTTAATGTCACTAATCACCAAAAAATGCAAATTAAAATCACAAACAGATCTCACCTCCCAGCTGTCAGAATGGCTGGCCTCAATAAATCAGCAAACAACAAGTGCGGGGGAGGGCTGGAGAGAAGGGAGCCCTCGGGCACCGCTGCTGGGAACACAGACTGGTGCAGCCACTGTGGAGGGCAATATGGAGCTACCTCAGAATATTAAAAATGGAACTACCGTATGACCCAGTGGTCCCCCTTCTGGGAATATATCCAAAGAAACCCAAAACACTGATTTGAAAGACTATATACACCCCTATGTTCATTGCAGTATTTACAATCGCTAAGATTTGGAAGCAGGCAAGTGTCCATCAATAGAAGAGTGGATAAAAACAAAAATAAAAAAACTCTGGTAGCCCTGGCCAGGTGGCTCAGTTAGTTGAAGCATCAACTTGTCCACCAAAAGGTTTCGGTTCGATTCCCAGGCAGTGCACATACCTAGGAGGTGGGTTTGATCCCCAGTTGGGGCATGTATGAGAAGCAACCTATCAGTTTCTCTCTGTCTCTCTCTCTCTCCCTCTTCCTTCCTCTCTCTCAACAGATCCTTTGGTGAGGTTTTTTTTTTTTTAAAAAGAGTAAATCCAGTGCCTTTCGAGCTTTTTCAATCATGACGCACAGTAAGATTTCACATATAACCCAGTATGTATGTTTATACACACCGCAAGTAACTAAAAGACAAATGTCATACAATAACAATGATTGCTATGAGACATGCATTCTGCCATTTTCTGTTATGTTTCACTTTTTGTTTTTTGTTTTTTTATCCTCACCCGAGGACATTTTTCGACATTTCCTTCAGATAGAGTGGGAGGGAGAAAGAGAAAGAGAGAAACATCAACGTGAAAGGGACACATTGAGTGGTCGCCACCCACACGACCCAACCAGGGCCGGGGACAAACTGCAACCGAGGTACGTGCCCTTAGCGGGAACCGAACCCGGGTCTCTCCAGACCGCAGGCCGACTCTCTAACCGCTGAGCCAAACCGGCCAGGACATCACTTTTTGTTTTAAATACTGATTACAACCTACTAACTGATTTCCCCAAGCGTGGGTCTCCCTTGCAGTACCACGAACTCGGGGTTAACATATGTTCGGAATGGCGGTTGGCTCATAGGGGAACCCAGGCTCGGTGGCTGTTACATTGATTCTTGCTGCACCTGGTGGGCTCTTTCTCCTCCGTCCAGGCTTAGCTCGGCACCGCCTGCTCCAGGAGGCCTCTGGTTGGGCCAAAGTCCTTTGCCCTGCACTGCACTGCACTCGGAAATCAGCTGCGTGCGGAGCTGCCGGCATTCACCATGGTGTCAGCCTCCCCAGGTTCAAATCCCAGCTGCACTCTCTCTGACCATGAGACCTGGCCCTAAGAAACCCACACCTCAGAGCCTTTCAGCTGCAAAACAAACAAACAAGCATGGAAACAAGACTATGGTGAGAACGGTGTACGTCCGTTCTCTGGGCTCTGCCTTCACGATAACCCAGAATCCAAACACTCCTCCCAGCTCCTCGGCCTCACCCGGGTCCAGCTGAGGCGGCGGAGCTGGGAGAGTTATGACGCCTATGTCAGCCACTGTAGAGGGCCGGTCCCGGGGCACCCATTCCCGTGAGCTGGCCTGCTGCCTCCATGGACAGAACGGGCTCTGGAACTGTGCAGGGCACAGATCGGGCCCTGCAAGCCCCTTTGCTGCTGAATGCATGAATGCAATAATGGATGGATGGATGGAGGCCTCTGTGGTAGGCAGAAGTGCTCAGCCTCTCTGAGTGTTCTCCACCCAGGTGGCCTCCCTTCCTGTTCACACAGACCTCAAGGTGACGGTGCTATGGACATATCCGATGGCCAGGCTGGGCGTCATCCGGTGTGATCTCAACTACTCGGTGACGATGCATTGTGTGACCACGATCAGACCCGGACCTGTGCTGCACTGGACCTTCGAGGGGAAGCCACGGGGGACTGGGGAGTTGCTGATCATCCGGCGCTTGTCCAGGGAGGACTTGGGCAACTATACGTGCATGGCCAAGGACAACCAGGGACAGGATTTCTCCGACACTATGACCGTCTCACTGCCAAGTGAGTCCCCCACCCCCACCCCAGACCCTTGCATCCTAGCTGGTTGGTGACCAGCTTTCCTGACTCCATTGAGCCCCTTCTTTGAGTAGTCCCCTCTGAGACCCTTTATACACAAGATGTCATCCCATTGTCCCACCCATTTGCAGATTGGGCATTATTAGCCCATTTTATAGATGACAGGCTGAGGCTCAAAGAGATGAACTCTAATGGAAGCTCAGCCCAGGATCTGGAGCCCATGGCATGGGTCCCTGGCGGTGTGAATTTGGGAGAACCCTTTCCCTCCCCGAGTCTCAGCGCGTGTCAGTGAAAAAGTGCTGATATAACCAGTGGTCCTGAGCATGGGCTTTGGGATTTGAATTCTTCTTCCATTTCCTGGCTGTGTGACTTTGAACCAGCCCCGTGCCTCAGTTTTCCCATCTGTAAAACTGGAAAAATAATAGTGCCCACCCAAAGTTTAGTCATGAGCATTCAATGTGATAAGCAGGTAGACAGTTTAAAATAAGAGGGTCTCGCACTCCTGAACACTAGTGAGTGTTCAGTAAACACCAGCTAGTATATTGCTACAATTCGCATTATTGATATGAATTTTGTGACGATGTCCATAGGCAGTAGAGTGCATGAAGTCCAGGCAGCAATCGCAAGAACAGCCAGGGATAAAAAAAAGTGGTTTGGGAGCTTGTGGAAGCAAGTTTCAAGGTGACTCAGGACAAGTGACTTCCTTTCTCTGAGTCTCAGTTTCCTCCTGTGCATAACGGATTGTTATAAGGAACTGAAATAATGCATGCATGAAGTCAGAATAGCACCTGATTTATAGCAGGTGATTTATTTATTTATTTATTTATTTATTTTTAATCCTCATCGGAGGACATTTTTGCATTTATCTTCAGATAGAGCGGGAGGGAGAGAGGGAGGAAGAGACAGAGAGAAACATCGATGTGAGAGAGACACATCGAGTGGCCACCACCCACACAACCCCAACCAGGGCCGGGGACAAACTGTGACCAAGGTACATGCCCCTAGCGGGAACCGAACCCGGATCTCTCTGGTCCTCGGACCGACGCTCTAACTGCTGACCTGAACCAGCCAGGGCCAGCAGGTGATTTAAATAGCAGCAATTATCATAAATTTTATTTTTCCTGATTTTAAAAAAAAATTTAAATCCTCATTCGAGGATATTTTTTCATTGATTGTCAGGTAGAGTGAGAGGAAGGAAGGGAGGGAGAGAGAGACATCAATGTGAGAGACACATGGACTGGCCGCCTCCTGCACGACCCTGATCAGGGCCAGAGCCAAAGCCAGGGATTGAACCCCAGCTGAGGTACCTGCCCTTGACCGGAATCAAACCCACAACTCTTTGGTCCGTGGGCTGATGCTCTGACCGCTGAGCCAAAGCAGCCACGGCCTTCTTTCCTGACTTTATTCATGGAGGACAAGTGGCTTGGAGTGGTCTGGAAGGGTTCAGAGCAGCTGGCCCACAGGGAACAAGGGGAGGCATCTGGGCGGCAGAGAACCACATGCAAAGATCCGGAGTGTGGACTCAGCGGGGGGAGGGGAGGGGACAGCCCGGCTTGGCTGGGTCCCAGAGCGCTGGGGTTTAGAGGGAGCTTCAGTGATTGGTTTAGGATGATTCACTGGGAGAAAAAATTTTAAATCTGTAGCACCTGGTGACCCTGATGTTTGTTGAGGATGACAATGCTTCCAGGGCCTCCTTTACTCGTTCATCAACGAGTCAGGAAATGTTTATTGAGCACCTACTATGTTACCAGCCATGCTGGGCAGTGCGGGAGGGGTACTCTGGTGATGAAGACAGCCCTGTCCCTGTCCCCATAGGACGCCCAGTCTAGTTGGGGACAGGCCTGTCCATAAACAGTAATGACCAGCGTGGGAGGGCTGGGATGGGAAACCTAGAAGACTGTGGGACCCAAGGGGGTGCATGACCCAGCAAGGAGGTCAGGGAGGGCTTCCTGGAGGAGAGGACACCTGAGTTAGTACTAGACTACATAGGAATTATCCAGGCCAAAGGGGAGAAATGGCATAGAAGGCATTCCAGGTGCACACACAAAGGCCTAGACGTGGGGGAGAGAGAGGTGAGCTTAGATAATTGAGTTGAGTCCACTGAGGCTTGGTTATAAAGATGTGGGTGAAGACAGAGGAGGCTGGCCAGGTGGCAAGGCCTTGAAGGCCAAGGTGAGGAACACCTCCTCCCCGGGTCCTGGGGAATCGCAGCAAGATTCTGAGCAGAGGAGGTACAGGATCAAGTGTGAGCTTTCGAGAGACCACTCTGACTTCCGTATGGTGGGGAGATGGTGGGGGAGAGATGGGCAGGAGAGCAGGGAGGAGGCCAGGGCAGAGACCCCGAGAATGGGGATGAAGGGCTGGAGTAAAAAGACGCTCAGGATGCCCTGGCTGGTTTGGCTCAGCGGTTAGCGCGCCGGCCTGCAGACCAGAGAGACCCGGGTTCGGTTCCTGCTAAGGGCACGGAACTTGGTTGCGGTTCGTCTCCGCCCCGGTTGGGTCGTGTGGGTGGCAGCCAGTCGATGTGTCTCTCTCACTTCGATGTTTCTCTCTCTCTCCCTTCCTCCTGCTCTATCTGAAGATAAATGCAAAAATGTCCTTAGGTGAGGATAAAAAAAAAAGAGACATTCAGGAGGTGGGATGGCGGGAATGGGGGTGTAGAGGGAGGGTGGTTCCTCCCATCTCACCTATTTTTTGTCCCCAAAAGCCAACGTGGATCCCGCAGATGAGCCCATCGAGCCAGACCCCATCATCACTGTGTCAGGAGCGGCTGCCATCGCCCTCATCATTGCTGGGAGTGTGGGGTTGGTGACAGTGTTGGGAGGCATTGGCTGCACCATCGCCCAGGCCAAAAGGTACCTTCTGCCCCTCGCCCTGTGCGCCAGCCGACCTCCACTCAGCCTCTACGAGGCACAGAGCTCGCTCTGCAGCAAGACAAACACCAAACCGACAGCCTCATCCCCGGGAGCTTTAGGCTCGTTCAGAGAGGGTGGCTGTCAGCGCTGCTGTGGCCATCTGCCTCGTCACTTCCCACAGTGACCCCAAAAGAGACAGAAGCGGGTTCCGGAGCCGGTCTGCCCGGGTGCAAACCTCAGCTCCAATACTTACCCGCAGTAAAGCCATGGGCAAGTCACTACCCCCTTCTGCGCCTCTGTTCGCCTCTCTGCAAGACAGGGGCGATGATAACACCTGCCTCCCAGGGCTGTTGGGAGGATTAAACGAGCTGACATTTCTAAAGCATTGACAGCAGTACCGTAAGTGTCACATCCATTCTTTCTACACCCACCTGCTGAGTGCCCACTGTGTGCCAGGTGCTGGGGACACTGTGGGAATGAATAGCCCTCAGGAACTTTCACCCTAGACAGAGACACCAACCCTCTCGTGATGACCCAGTGACCTGTAGACAGTATGTTGAGTGATGAGTGCCCAGGAGTGGAGTAAGGCCGGAAGGGGGACAGGGAGTGTGGGGGTGAGGTACAATTTATCTAAGTCAGCGAAGACCTCCCTGAGAGAGTCACATTTCAGCAAAGACATTGTGCAAAGAAGAGGAGGAGGGAGCCAGTGGGTATGTGGGGGAAGGGCACGCCTGGCAAAGGAAACAGCAAGTGCAAAGGCCCTGAGGTGGGACTTGACTGGCATGTTCAAATAGCAAGGAGGCCGGTGTGGCTGGAGTGGCATGAGGAATGGGAAGAGAAGCAGGACATGAGATCAGAGGTCAGAGAGGGAAGGGGGGTCAGGGACGAAACACTGAAGACTTGTGGGTCATATAAGGACTTGGCTTTTGTTCTGAGATGGGGGCCACGTGGGTTTAGAGCAGAGGAGGGATGGGATCCGACTGGCATCTGACTTACATTTTCATGCTAGGTGTGTTAGCCGTTATCACATTATATCTTACCCCGTATTGAGCGCCTATTACGTGCTTGCTAAACATTATATTTTTTATTGATTTTTTTAGAAAGAGAGGAAGGGAGAGAGAGATAGAAACATTGATGTGAGAGGGAAACATTGATCGGCCACCTCCTGCATGCCCTTTACTGGGGATCCAGCCCGCACCCTGGGCATGTGCCCTGACTGGGAATTGAACTGGGACCTCTCAGTCCATGGGACGACGCTCAATCCACTGAGCCACACCGGCTGGGCTAAACCTTCTTCTATTTAATCTCCACAACTGCTCAGCGAGGGTGGAAGTGGGGTAGAGGTGAAGATCTCGTTTTTTGTGAAAGAGGGAACTAAGGCTCAGGGAGAAGTGACTGGCCCCAGACGCCACAGCTGGGCAGAAGCGATTCGAACCCCAAACCCTGCCTTACTTGTAGTCCCGGCCCCTAACCTACGCTGCCACTTTTTTCACCACTCACAATACATGCCTTTGTCGCTCAGGAACTAAGGAAAAGAAATGTACCCATTGAAATGGTTTGGAGAGCCCTGGCCGGTTTGGCTCAGCGGTTAGAGCGTCAACCTGCAGTCCTGAGAGACCCGGGTTCGGTTACCGCTAAGGGCACGTACCTCGGTTGCAGTTTGTCCCCGGCCCTGGTTAGGTCATGTGGGTGGCAACCACTCGACGTGTCCCTTTCACGTCGATGTTTCTCTCTCTCTCTCTCCCCCTCCCACTCTATCTGAACCAAAAATGGGAAAAAAATGTCCTCGGGTGAGGATAAAAAAAAAAAGAAATGGTTTGGAAAGGCTTTGGGGACCGGATGGGAGGGACCAGGGCCAGGTCTCCAGTCTGAGTTCCCTGTGGAACCGTCCAGGGGCAGGGGGGGCCAGGCTGCCCCCTGGATCACCCACGTGATCTTCACTGTGGCATTTCCTGGGTCCTCAGGGAGAACCAAGATCCTCCAAGTCACGAGGACTCTCGGGCGGTTCTGTAAATAGTGTCCGGTCCGTGGTGAGCCTTCGATAAACGTCAGCCACGTGTCTATTACGAGGACGGTGATGATCATTTCTCTCTCTCTCCCTGCAGGACCGACAGGCGAAGAATACGAAAATGCTGCTGAAGTGTGAGTAGCAGCCTGTGGGTCTGAGAGGTGATGCCAGGGAGGGTGGGCAGAGAATCCTGGGTTCAGGGGCGAGATGACGTTTTGAGGGGCTGCCTATGAGACTGCCTTCCTCCTGGTTTCCTGATCGTTTGTTTGCAGACTGTTCCCCCTTGTCGAGCACCCTGGGGAGTGATGGAACAAGACCCCCCATCTGCCCATCTCCCCAAACTCCGGGAAACCACCTCACAAGCAGTGTATATTTCCTAAAACTCGTGGGATACAAGCAGAAGAAACTCACTGAAGTGGCTCAATAAAAAAACAAAAGATGCCCAGCCGGTGTGGGTCAGTGGTTGAGCGTTGACCCATGCACCAAGAGGTCACCGGTTCGATTCCTGGTCATGGCACATGCCCAGGTTGTGGGCCTGATCCCCAGTGGGGGGCCTGCAGGGGGCGGCCGATCAATGTTCTCTCTCATCGATGTTTGTATCTTTCTCCCTCTCCCTTCCTCTCTCTCTAAAATCAATAAAGAAAAAAAAAATTTTTTATTTTATTTTTATTTTTTTAAATCGGAGCCTTCGGAGCTCAGCCCTACCCGTGGGGGCTCAGTGCTCAGAAAATGGGGGAGCTCAGCCTTGTAAGTTGGGCAGATATCCCCAAAACATCTGCTACACACGCAGCTTATTTTTGCACCTTTTCAAAAAGAAGGAAAAAACTTCCCAATGCAGAGAAGTGGCAGGTGGTCGCCACCCCCAGAAATCACGTGGCAGATCAGATCGCCCACTCACTTCCGAGCTGCTGGGGCACCCTGGCTGCTGGCAGGCAGAGGGGAAATCAGTATGGACGCAACTCCCACGTGGAAATATCTAACCTCCGAGGACCATTCAGGCATCTGCGACCAATAGGAAGCCACCTACCATGTCATTATGATTAGCAATGACAGCAGTGGACCTGAGTTCATAGCTTGTCTGTGGAGGGCCGTCTGTGTGCCAGCCACCACACTCTGTACCGCATGTGATTCATGTCTTATATCATCCTCACTGTGCCCATGGAGGTAAGGAGACTCCTCCCGCATTTTACAGACAAAGCAGGTGAAGCTCTGAGAGAGGGTAAGTGACTTATCCAGGGTCCCACGGGTCCCGCATGGTGGTGCTGGTCTCTAAGGCAGGCTGCCTGAAAATTCTGTTTCCAGTCACCCCACACCCCTGTCACTCCCTCCCAGAGGCCAGAACACGTTTCCCCTTTTCCCTTGGGCCCCCACCTCTTATGTCAGGTCAATGCCGTACACATGCACAGAGGATAAAATAGGCTCAGAGAGGGTAAGTGACTTGCCCAAGGTCACACAGCCATGATGCCCAATTCCAAAGCCTGTACCGCAGACCAGCGCCGTTCACTGGAACGCTCTGTGGTGGTGGAAATGTCTTTATCTGCACTTCCAGTACACGTGGCTAGTGAGCTCCGGAAATGTGGATAGGGCAATTGAGGAACTGAATTTGAGATCTGATTTACCTTTAATTAATTTGAATTTGAATTTATATCACAACCTGGGGGCAGCGGCTATTGTATCAGACAGTGCAACTCAGACTCGTAATTGTAAAAAATAAATAAATCCCCAGCACCCCTATGTGCTGATCACTGACTGTGTGGCTGTTCCGGGGTCCGGGCCCTGCTCTGTCCAAAGGTCCAGATCTGCTCGGAAGCCCCTGATATCTAACCAGCTCCTCTCCCACCTGAGGTGTCCCGCTGAACCCCTTCCCTCCTCCCAGGTACCTCACTGTCATGGAAGAGAGTCATTTCCTGCCTGGGTGGGGACACAGGGAGCTGGTGCTGCTGTGCTGAGGCATGCTGGGTATCAGAGGTGACACAAGCCTGCAGCCAGCTGTCCCCTGCCCAGGCCGCAGCAATAGCCGTGCCCTTTGGAACAGCTGAGAATCACGGTGAGGCTCCTCCCCGACTGGAGAGAAACTGTGCGCATTTCCTCGGAGAGACTCCTGGCCACCCTTTTACACATTCAGTCCCTTGGTGGACCTCCGTGTAGCACTGATCACACTGTGTCATTCAACTTTTGTTGCTGTGATTATTGAGCAGTCAGCACATCCATTAGGCTGTCAGCTCCACGCTGGCAGAACCCACACCTGTCGTACTCTGTGGGCTGAACGCACACTGGGCCCCCCTCCCCCTTTCACAGCGGGGACACCTGGAGCCGCCTGGGGAGAGACCCAGCCACCAGCTCCAGAGCAAGGTTTTGGTGTGTGTGTCTTTTAATCCTCACCCAAGGATAATGTTTCTTGATTTTGAGAGAAAGAGAGAGAAACATCGATGGGTTGCTTCCCATACATTCCCTGACTGGGGATCGAACCTGCAAATAAAAGTTGGTGTACAGGATGATGCTCCAATTGACTAAGCCATCTGGCCAGGGCTCCAGAGCAGGCTTTAAACCACCTCAAGAGGTGGGGCCGGCTGCAATTTATATCCCGAGAAAGCTCAGAGCCAGGGCAAGCCAAAGCCACAGCTCTCTCTCAGCCGGAGGCAGACCAGAGGCAGAGGCAGAGCCAGAGGCAGAGGCAGAGCCAGAGGCAGAGGCAGACCAGAGCCGGAGGCAGACCAGCGGCAGAGCCAGACCAGAGCCGGAGGCAGACCAGAGGCAGAGGCAGACCAAAGCCGGAGGCAGACAAGAGCCAGAGGCAGAGGCAGAGCCAGACCAGAGCCGGAGCCAGACAAGAGCCAGAGGCAGAGGCAGAGGCAGACCAGAGCCAGAGCTAGAGGCAGAGGCAGACCAGAGCCAGAGGCAGAGCCAGACCAGAGCCGGAGCCAGACCAGAGCCAGAGGCAGAGGCGGAGGCAGACCAGAGGCAGAGGCAGACCAGAGGCAGAGGCAGAGGCAGACCAGAGCCGGAGGCAGACCAGAGCCGGAGGCAGACCAGAGCCGGAGGCAGACCAGAGCCGTGCAGGCTTCAATTCCAGATCCAGACAGGGTTCAAGCAATGGCTGGCACCCAGTCTCCAGTGCTGGATCGTCACGGAAACCTGCCCTGGCCCTGCCTAGTTCCAGCCAATTCCTTCAACAGCCTCGGGCACAGAGCTGAAGCCAACCCCAGAGCCCCACCTCCAGCTCTCGAGCTGCACTGAGCCTTGGTACCAGCTGGGATCCCGCTCTGGCTCCAGATCAAGAGACACCAGACCCAGACTCACAGCAGCCCTGGTTCTAGGGCCTGGTCCCCCAGGACACCCAGCACCAGGTCCGCAACGTGTGCCAGCCCCTGCCACGCCTTCAGTGCCAGGATGTGAGCTGCCGCTGGTGCAGCCCCAGCACCAACTTCCTTCCCCTTCCTACAATTGCATTTTCTTCGCATTTATTTTTTCTTATATATACTCAAAGCTTTACTCTACTCTGTCATAGAAACTTAACTTAAAATGATAAATGTTTGTTGAACGAATGAATGAGAGACTCAAGTCACACCACTAGGAAGGCTGGAAGGCTCAGAAATGGAAGCATCGCCCCTTCTCCAGCTGGACTTTAACTGGAATGACTCCACCCAGGCCCCTCTCATTAGTAAACACTTCCTGAGCGCACACTGCGCGGCAGATGCAGGTCCCGCGGCCGTGGAAGGGGTGCCTGCGTGGATTACTGGTGTCTGCTGCGAGCCTGGGACGGGGAGTGGTAGTGAGTCCCACTTGCCTCCCCTCTCTGCTCCCTGAGGGGACCAAAAGAACTCTCCTCCTGGTTCAAGGCCTACTCAGAGCACACTGTGGTTCACAATTACAGAGGCTACTTCAGCAACGTCTGATTCATTCATTCACCCAATAAATGTTTGCTGAGCACCTTCTGTGTGGCTGCCGCTGTGCTGGATGCTGGAGACACAGCCGGGAACAAGGTACACATGGTCTCTGCCCTCACAGAGGTCAAGTCTCCATCTCCAAAGGCCCAAGTCCTTGCCCAAGTCCCCCCTTCCCACCCTCCTCCCAACCTCTTCCCTTTTTTTTTTAATCCTCATCCAAGGACATTTTTTCGTTATTTTTGTTCAGATACAGTGGGAGGGAGAGAGAGCAGGAGAGAGAGAGACACACATCGACATGAAAGGGACACATCGAGTGGCTGCCACCCGCATGACCCAACCAGGGCCGGGGACCAACTGCAACCGATGTACGTGCCCTTAGCAGGAACCGAACCTGGGTCTCTCTGGACCGCAGGCCGACGCTCTAACCGCTGAGCCAAACCGGCCAGGACCCAACCTCTTCCCTTTTTAAAACACATCTAAACTCTCTTCCTCAAACTCTCTCAAGATTGCTCTCTCTCTGACAGCTGTCGGGGCAGGGTTGCAGGGCTGGGTGTAAAAGGTGAAGGGATTAAGAAAACCTCATGGACAACAGTATGGTGATTACCAGGTGGAAATGGGGGGTCGGGGAAGTAGGAGAGGGTAAAGGGGGGCTAAATGGTGATGGAAGGAGACTTAACTTGGGGTGGTGAACACACAATACTATATATAGATGAAGTATTCTAGAATTGTATACCTGAAACCTATATAATTTTATTAACCAATGTCACCCCAATAAATTTAATTTAAAAATTTTAAAAGATGGCTCTCTCTCTCTCCTTCTCTTTCTCTCACAAAGACACACACATTACTTCATGGGTAAGTTTTCTCTAAATTCCAATATTTACAGAAAACACAATTCTATGTGTTAGAGTGGGAAAGACTAATGGACATGTAACCATCAGAGTCAACTAATAGCTAACGCCATTCGTTCATTCATGCATTCAGCATGACTTCCTACAGTGCCTGGTCTATGTGGAACCCTGTGCTGGGCAGTACTGGGGACCTAGAGGTGACCATGACAACCACAGGCCTGGCTCACAGTCCAGTGGGAAAGACAGATCCATCCACAGAGTGACAACCCAGAGAAGTCAGGGATGTGGGAGCCCAGATGGAGCTCTTGGTCCAGCCTGGGGATCTGGGAGAGCTTCCTGGGGGAGGAGTCAACTTTACTGGTGAACAGGTTAAGATGACTAGTAACCAGAGCA